AAAGATAACTTATATAATACACAGTAAATCTAGACTGAAAGTGCAGCACTGTATTTTGAAATAAATAATAACAAAAATCACTATATATATATATATATGGGATTTGACCAATGTAGTATATCAACATTTATGTATAATCATAATTTCAGTCATCAAAAATTAAAAGAAATTAAAATAAATATACTAGCTTTTTTTTTTAAGCTAAGAAGCTAAAGAGACAAAATAAAAAAAAAAAAAAACTAAGGGAAGTGGAAGAAAGAAAAAACATTGGAAACATTATGATAACAGCTGCACAGAACATGCCAATGAACTGTACACATGAAGAATGTTGAAATGGCAAATATATTGTTCCATATATCACCAATTGCCTTTGAGTCAACTCCAACTTGTAGCAACTCTATAGGACAAAGCAGAACTTCCTCCTTAGGGTTTCCAAGGCTGTAAATAAGGAAGTAGACTGTCACATCTCTCTCCTGTGGAGGGGTTGGTGGGTTTGAACCTCCAACTTTTAAGTTAGCAGCTGAGCATTTAACCACTGTGCCACTAGTGTTCTTTTTACATTAATAGTTACACAATAAAACAAAGACCCAGAAATTAGTAAATTAGAAAAACAAATAAAAAATAAAATTCTTTCTTAGAAATATGACTACAATGACATATATGAAATATCTTGAATACTGAAGAAAATGAAAAATTAGGAAAATAGTATTAGGAAGAAGAAAGGGGCATAAATTAGTGATTTAGAGAACAGTAAGAGGTAATTTCTGGTTTTCACCCCCATATTTTTAGAAGCTGTTATTTTCTTACAACAAGATAAAGATGGACAAACTGGAAATTAATGACTTATCTTGGACTTAAACCATTACCCAGAAATCTGGAGTGACAGATGAATCTACAGAGAGACAGCAGAGATCTGCTCACTGAAATAGAGACCTCTAGAGCCAGCAACTTGTAGGAACATTGAAATGGTAATTTGGACAAATTGCTGGAGGCTGAATATAGACTAGCAGAAAATGAGAAATTTATGGGAGCTGCTCTGGTGGCATAGAGCCTGTGGTAGTTAAATTTGTATGTCAGCTTGGCTGGGCCTGGTTGAGTGGCTGGACAGCTGGTGGTAGTTATTCCCCATGATGAGACTGGCAATCAACTCCATGGTGGGATCTACCACAAGCAGCTGGTATGCTTTTTTGGGGGGGCAAT